TGGTAGAAAGAATACACTACATTAAACAAAGAAACCTGGTTAAGCCCAAGGAATATCGTTTTCTTGTGGAACTATTTCTCCTAACTTCTAAATTTGTAGTCCCAGCTTTCTCTTATCAGTAAAATAGAATACTATTTTTATTGCTACAGGAGAAATACTACCCACCTTTTCCCTAGTCTTAGGCAATTAAGATTCTGGGGAGTATAGCTCAGTGGTAGAGCGCATGCCTAGCATGCACAAGGTCCTGAGTTCAATCCCCAGTACCTCCATTAAATAAGTAAATAAATAAAACCTAAATACCTACCCTGCAAAAGACTGTTAAAAAGAGATTTTATGGGTTCTTCAGAAGACAAATGTGGTGAAATTCAAGGGGATTTTTACCGACCATAATTCAATCTGTCAATAAATAATGGAAATTCTGGGACTTTGCAATTAAAATAGCAATAGTCATCATTTGCGGAATCAGTCCTTGCTGCTCTCGGAGCATATGGGGCATGAGACATCCTGTCAAACATATGGTATTCCAAATGTAATAGTGCTAAATGTTTAATATTCCACAGTAGTGTACCATAAATCAAGTTGTGAAGAACTCTAGGCAAACCACCGACTCCCACAGGAGAGGTGAGCTCCACTTCAGCTTTTCTAACCAACCTGACTTTCTCTGTTGATTAGCTTTCCATTCAAATAATTGTTTTATTTTCCATGAGAAAAAATATACGAGCTGGTAAAAATAATGTTGGTCAATTACTTGCTGCTTAAAGCTCTCATATCATGCTGTTGAGACTTTGAGCCCATTTTTTAAATTATCCAAGGCTCAATTTCCACCCGCTCTCCCCAAAGATCATAATAATAGCCATCCTGCCTTTAAAAGAAATTATTAACATTTCTAGGTTTTAGACTTGTTAATCATGGCTGTACTTCCTCATGCAATTGCCTTACCTAGACCTAGCCAATGCATAGTAACAGTAATAATAACAATCACTAATAAAAAGAACACATACCAGGTACTCAGTATGTACTGTCTGCTAAGCATTTACATACCATACCTCTCATTCCCCTATCAACCTCACATGTAGGTATTGTTATCTGTTTTAACAGTCAGGACAAAGACTCACAGAAGTTCAGCCACTTGGTCAACAGCGCTCAGCTTACTAACCAGCAGAGATGGAATTTACTTCACATCTTTCTGAGGACAAAGGCCAAGCATTTTTCTGAGATCAAAGTCCATGCAGCTTCGTGCAGCAGCTACTCTACAACCCGTGTGGAAGCTACACTCACATTGTATCCTCAGAATAAAAGGCTGTAACAGCTGTATGATGCAGGGGGAAAGAGAACTATTCAGACAGCCTGCTAAGCAATTTAGTGGGGACATCAGAGAAGAAGTTCTGTTTTGAAGTGGCCCCTATTTTTTCCCACTATCTACACCCGAGTCTGAACACTAAAAATCAAACTAAACCAAGTCAAAATATAAAGAACAATGAAGCACATCAACCCAGAGACTTCTTTTTCCTTCTTTAGAGGATTTTATTATAAGCTCTTCAAATTTTAAGTCCCTTCTTTAGAGGACTTATAACATATGCATTGCATGTATTAAGTCTCCTCTTTCCTTCTCTCCTCTCCCTGCCTTCAGTTGTTTGTTTGTTCCTTTCTATTTTATCTCAGAAGGAAGATGTGTTTCACACTGCTGGTGTGTTCTTGCATCTTTTCATTTGTGGCTCCTGGTTAGTGCTGTGGTAAGGTTTTTGGTTAGGTGGTTGTGGGTGGTAAAGTGGCATTTCTTTCTTGAACTACTGTTGCTATGTTATCCTCATAAAGTTGGGTGAACTGAACCAGCAGCAGAATCTCAATCATCCTCAGATTCAGTCTGTGGACTAACTTTGTCTTTAACAGTGTTTTTTTTTTTTCATTTATAACTGAAGTATAGTTGATTTACAATGTTGTGTTAGTTTGTGGTGTACAGCATAGTGATTCAGTCATATATAGAGAGAGAGACACTGTATATTCTTTTTCATTATTGGTTGCTACAAGATATTGAATATGGTTCCCTGTGCTGTACAGTAGGACCTTGTTGTTTACTTCGTTTATATTATTATATATATATATATAGTTATATATATATATATATATTTTATCTGCTAATCCCAAACTTCTAATGTATCCCTCTCCTCTCTTTCTCCTTGTAACCATAAGTTTGTTCTCTATGTCTGTGAGAGACTTTGTATTTTAACTGAAAAAAAAATTTTTAGACATACAGAACACTTGCAAAAATAGCCACCATCTTCCCTAGTGTTAGCACCTTATATAACCATAGTGCAATTATGGAAATTAAGAAAATACTAAACACAATACTATTAAAAACCACAGACCTAATCTAGCAGTTTTCCCACTTCTATTCTTTTCTCTGTTCCAGAATCCAACCCAGGATTCCGCATTGCCTTCATCGATGCACCTCCCTAATCTAAGAGAGTTCCCCAATCCTTCCTCGTCCTTCATGACCTGAATACTTTTGAAGAGTACTGGTGAGCTGTTTTGGAGAATGCCTCTCCCTTTAGTTTGTCAGGTGTTCCCTCAAGCTCTGAATTGAGGTTATGCATCATCAGGAAGAGTACCACGGAGACACAGCGCAGCTATCACGGAGCACATGATGTGGGTCTGTCTTTTTACTGGTGGTGTTAACCTTGATCGCTTTGTCAGAGTGGTGTCTGTCAAGTTTCTCCGCTATAAAGTTATTATCGTCCCCTTTGTAATTAAAATACCAGATGGGAGGGCAGGCAGGGAGGGGCTGCTTTGAGACTGTGCAAATATCTAATTTCTCTTCAAAATTCATCCACTGATTTTAGCGCTCGTCTGTGGATCTAGCCCACAACAATTACTATTGTGGCTCTCGTGGTAGTTTGACTATTTCTCTCATTTTCCTGACACTAATTAGATGGAATTCCTCTGTAAGGAAGAGCTGCCTCTTCTCCCCCTTGTATTTATTTATTCAGTTATGTATTTATCTCAGTATGGGCTCACGGAGATTTGTTTCATTCTATGGATTATAATCCAACACCTTTGTTACTTGTTTTTTGGCTCCAGTTGTTCCTGTTTGGGCCACTGGCAGTCCTTTCACGCTGGCTCTGTGCCTTTCCTAGTGCCCTACAGTTTAGTTGTTTGAGCATCTTTATTTCCTGGTGCCACAAGATGCTCCAGGCTCACCCTGTGATTTCCCTGTCCCACCCCAGTGGTGGTCAGGTGACTAATGTAGTTTACAGAGTCTGGCCATGGGGACTCTAAACCATAATTCTACATTCAAGTACTCTCTGCATCACTGACTACCTGTGGGACCTTGGGCAAGAAACAGTGGTTTTGAGCCTGTTTCTCCCTCCATATAAGGGTAATATCTTCATGGGCCATAAGAAATCGTGTCTATGAATGTCTTTATGCTGTGGTCCCCAACACTACTCAGAAGACAAAGCTGGGATGGCTGCATCAAAATTAGAATCAGGATGTGTTAAAACACATATTCCTGGACCTAGCCCCAGGAATTCTGACTCAGGGGATCTAGAATAAGGTCCACAGTAAGCATTTTTAGCGAAAACCTACGCTGATTTAGTTGCAGGGCCAGGTCTGGGAACCACTGTTACTCAGGAGCAAACCCCACACAAAGCCCCTCCATGATCTCATGTCAGCCCCGCATCCTCACCAGTGTCCTGCTACCCTCCTCTCACTCAGGTGAATGCTTGGCCCACTGAAGGGTCCCCAAGGGCCACAGGAAACCAAAACCTCCTTCCTCTGAGCTGCTGCGCTGTATCCCTTTATAGAAGATTAATTCTTACTGAGAGGCCAATTAGATGCTCCATGTTTCAGAAGACTATCTAATCTATTCCTTAAATATCCTCCTCCTTTACAAAAACACACTTTGTGAGCCTCTCCCTCGTCGTATCAGGTCAATAGATACAAAACCAAGAACCAGGTGGGGCTGTGGGGAGGGAAGAGGGGTCAGGGAGATGAGCAGGGACACTGGTAAGGAGGAGAGCAAATTAAAGAGGGCAGTCATCCCCAGCCGACCCCCTCACACATTGCTCTGCTTGTCAGTAAGGCAGGGTAAGAACAGGGCAAACAGAGCCTGGAGCAGGTACAGGACCTTTTAACCATGGCTGGGACCCACAGTACGGCTGCAGGAATGAGAAACCTTAGGTGATGGGAGCTGGGATGGAGATTCCTGGGGTCTTTTTGATGTGAGGGGTACACATCACTGAGGTTGGCATATGCTATGCTATGCTCTTAGGCTGGTACACCAGCTCAAAAGGCAAGACTCTCCTGCTCACTCTTATGCACCAGCCAACATCAGGAAGGACAGGTGTGTCCAGGAGACTGAATACAATGGGGACTGTCAATTTCGTAGTGCCCAAGGAGCAGCTTTCAAAGGATCTTAACCCATAATCTGCAAAAGTTGGTTTTTTTTTTAAGGTGAGGTAAAATTCACATAACATAAAATTAACTATTTTAAAGTATACATTTCAGTGGCATTTAGTACACTCACAATGTTGTCTATCTACCACCTATATTAAACTTCAAACATTTTCATCACCCTAAAAAGGAAACCTTGTGCACATCAAGCAGTCACCCCCTTGTTCCCCCCTCTACCAACAGCTTTTTATAGTAAGGGGTGGATTTTTCTCAATAATGAAACTTTATGCAGACACTGTCTAAGGAGCTTTTGGTAACTTTGGGTTCAATGGGCACAAGAACATTCTCTCTTCAACCAGGTGGGAGCAGCCTTCTGGGAAGGCCTAAGGTAAGTTTCCCTTTGCCCTGCCACATTCAGCTCAATGGGAACAGTGCCAGATTCTTACACACACTAACATACACAGACACACACACCCCAGGCTGGTCAGTTTCATGTGGTCAATAACCCTGAGAACAAGTGCATCACAACTGCGCTGAGAAGAGCCTATTTAGCACCCCACAGTCTGAGTGACTCCCCCATATGGGTCTAGACAGAGGTCAGCTCTTACCCGCTGCTTCTCTGGGTCCACATAACGAATGCCAAAGTAGTCCTTCTCCAGCAAGCTGTAGTAGTTGCAGATGTGGTCAATAAGAAACTGCCCCTTGGTCTCCCTCTGCAAAGGAAGCACATTTATGTTTCAGCCAAAGCTTGTCTTACACATTCATGTCTAAAATGTGCCTCATTCACTCTGATAGGTCTGTGCTTGTACACATGGATTCGCTCACTCCAATCTCTGGAGAAGAGGCTCCCAAACTTTTTTTTTTCAGTTTTATTAGAATTGTTACAATTTGACTGCACATATACAATGTATTGCATGTAAATACACGTACACAATATACTGTGTATATTTTTTAAATTTACATATATTGTTCATTGTTTTTAAGAACGTTTAGAGTTTTAGCTTTTTAAACTTACATGGTCATCAAAGGAATAAAGCCAACCACAAAATAAGAATTAATTCAAAAAGATACACACACCCTGCTATTAACAGCAACATTATTTATAATTGACAAGATAGAGGCTTCCAAACTCTTAACTGCAATCCACAGTGAGAAATTTTTTTTTTAACACTGTAAGCTGATACAGATACACAGACACACACACAGACTTGAAACAAAAAGAACATCAAAAAGAGGGCCCAAAAGGATACCAGACAATGCCCGGCATAGATGAATATGCTCTACTAAAGTTCTGTTTTATTCTGTTATATGCCATTTAATTTTTCTCATGCTATTTATGATTCAGAACACTGATTTCACAATTCGATACCTAGTGGAGATCCATAGTTTGCAAAGCCACAGACAATTCCACATATAATGCACCTGATGGTTTGTGCTAATTGCACTGTAGGTGTTCGTTTATTCAGTCCTCACAACAATCCTACAAGGAAGGTCCCCATTTTATACCTAGAGGTTCAGTGGCTTGTTCAAAGTCACACAACACATACAGAGCAAAGTAGGATTCGACCCAGGCCACCAGGCTGCAGAACCCAGGCTCCCACCGTGCCACTTTGCCTCTCTCTGCATTTGTCTACTGTGCTAGAAGGCAGGGTCTGGATGGTATGGAAATGCAATGGATGCTATCAGACAGAACACCCCACCTCCCACCAGGAAAGGGGGGGCAAACCTGCTGCTTCAGGCCTCACAGCCACCATATCACGCCCATAAATCAACATAAAAAGGCACTAAGGGAAACTGGAGGGAGCCCAGGACTGGGATTCCAAGACAGGTCTGGATGACCTTGAGCAAACTCCCCAGCTGTTTCCACATCAGTAAAATGAATTGGTTGGACTAGATTTCTAAATTGGCTAGATAATTTTCCCTCCTAAAATTCTATGAGTAACAGATGTATCAGCTAAATCTGATTAAGATAAATACCATTACAGCAAAACTCCTTAATAGCAAAGACCCTTCCAAGCCCTCAGCAGGATATTTGATAACTTTCTGCTTCAATCAAAATCACTGACAAACCCATGGAGTGTTTTAGGGATGGAATGTGACCTACAAAAATAAATGAGAAATTAGAGACATTAAGTGAGCTATTCTTCCAATCCACTAAATATAATTTTGGAAGATCAGTTTGGTCCATGTTACATGATTATCTTTTCATTAGAATTCACTACCATCAGCTTGGGAAGTTGATGAAAAAGTCACTCACTGGCCTGGGATGCACCGCACAGAACAAAGGACTGGGGCTTACAAGCCATACTGTGATATGAAGCCTGATTTTCCTGAAATCACTTTTGAGTTTAATTTTGAATGAGCTTTGAACTTTTATTTCCTTTGTAAGAGAACCCATTTGATGTCCCTCAAAAGGGACAGCACATCAAAATGGAACTTGTTTTGAGATTTCTATAATTATTTTTCTAGCCCAGGAAGCTCACATGGCAAGCTGTATCTGATGACAGCTAAATCCAATGCCCAGAATATAATCAATGGACATAGTTCTTTTCACAGATTTACCCTGTAACCCATCCGTCTTAAAGAGGCTGCTGCAGGATCAAATCACTGAACACAACACACAAGTTCATCATTTTATGATTGGATTGCCAAGCTCTCTGCAACAGGATTTACTGTGGTGGACCACCCCCACCACATGCAAGACACACAAGACATGTGGGCTACAGCAAAGCCTTGTAGTGACGTGGGACTGAACAGACCTTGACTGTACCTGACAGCTACTGCTAGCATTCTGCCCTGAAGAAGATGTAGCACTCCAAAGCACAACAAAGATTTTTTTTTTTAACGATTAAACACAGCAAACAACATACACTCTACAGCAATTCTCAGACTACCTAAGATCCCTGAGAGAAGAAGACGCCACTGCAGACAATGTAGTGACTGGATAATACAAGTGTAGCTGAACCAGGAATCAAAAAAGCAGGTGAGGCCAGTTCCCACAGTTCTGTTAGAGCAGCAGATAGCTTGATATGAGTAGGAAAAGGGGGGCACGACCAAATGGCAGGAAACCATACATCTTATGAACAATGGGGGGGTCCTTGCAGACAGAGAAAAGCAGGAACCTCCAGACTGATGAGAAATCACAGACTTTGGGGTGACAAGTATCCTGCAGGCAGGCAAATAAAGGTGGGAAAAGGCAGGAATCTCTGGCATCGAAATGTAACCTTCTGCTCATTATGCCCTCATTACAATAAAATTAGCCTTGCAATGTAGAAGTACCCATTATGCACCGATGCCGTGATGCTTCTGATCAAGACTAAAACATGACAAAAGTCCCTGCTCCCCTTGGGAAGGCAGAGCTGGGACGAAAATCAGAGAATACAGCCCCCAAATCCTCCCTCTCCAGTGAATATTCTGCCCGTTTTATTTTTTTATCTTTTAAAATTTACTTTACTTATGTATTTATTTTTTATGGAATTATAATCAATTTACAATGTTGTGTCAATTTCTGGCGCACAGCATAATGTTCTGCCCATTTATTTTTTCACCCTATGTAACCAGCTTGCCAAAGACACTGAGCACAGTGGCTCACGCGCGTCTGCCCGCTCGCCCCTTGAGAGCATCCTATCACTTAATAAATCCTCGCTTTACTTTCTCCACCTCCGTGTCTCCTCCTCTGAATTCTTGCTGCCATGAGACAAGAACCTAATCTCCGGTAACAGTTCCAGGCCACCAGGTGGGTTCTAGGTCTCTGCTCTTCAGAGCACCACCCTCAGTCCAGCAATATTGCAGCAAACTCAGCATCGCCTGGGAGGGAGCTTGTTGGAAACACAGAATCTCAGGCACTGTCCCTAATCTGCGTTTTAGAAGATCCCTCAGTTATTCATATGCTCATTCAAGTTTGAGAAGCATTGGTCCAGGGGAATTTCTCCAATCTGGGAAAAGTGCAGAAATTGTATCTGTCTCCAGAAGTCACCAGAAAAAAAAAAAAAAAAGCCTACTTTCCCTTGAGAACTCTCTATTCCTCAACCCAGAAGAGTCAGTTTTTTCCAATGTGGAGAACACAAACTGAGATGCTCAGCGTCGCTGCTTCAAGACAAGGAAGCCAGTTTACAGCCTCATGTTCTGCTCTGTTCCCCTCCTGCCTGGAAATCTGGACAGCGTTCTCTAGCCATTTAAGCTCCTATCATTACCACTTCTGTGCATTAAGCCCAGCTCTTGCACTAAACAAAAGGCCACCCAGGCCCAGCACAAGGGCTGGAAGCTCGTTCAGGCTCAGGTGTGTGAGGGGGCGGAAGTGTAGCTGCCAGCCCCACACCCCTCTCTTCAGGGAAGGAGCTAGGGGGTGAGCACTGGATCTGTCCCTCACCTTCCAACCCTGGAACTCTAGCAAACTGGCCCAAACCCTCCACTCACTTTCTCCTGAAGTTTCTGAGGGTAGAGGCCATTGTTCACACCCTACCGTGCTGCCTAAGCCAGTACCTGGCACACTCGGTGTTACTGAATGAATAAACGAGGCATTGCTTTCTCTCACGGAAAACCTGTTCCAGAAACTAACAGTGAGCCTCAGGTAAGACAGCACAGTCCTCATGTTAGAGATTCCTCAAACATAGTAGAATAGTAAAAAAACAAAAAAAAAAACCTTATGTCTACACAAAAATGTGTACATAGTGCTTACAGCAGCTTTACTCATAACTGCTAAAAATTGGAAACAACCAAGATGTCCTTCAATAGGTAAATGGACAAAAAAAAATTGGTGCATCCATATAATGGGATATCATTTAATGATGAAAAGAAATTAGCCTTTAAGTCATGAAAGAAATGAAGGAAACATAAATGCATATTGTTAACTGAAAGAAGCTAGTCTGAACAGGCTACATGTATTGCGTACAAATGACATTTTGGAAAAGGCAAAACTATAGTAACAGTGAAAAGATCAATGGCCAGTGAGATGGAAGGAGGGAGTGAAGAGATGAAAGACAGGATTGTCAGGGCAGTGAAACTATTCTGTGTGATACTGTAATGGTGGATATAGGACATAATTGTCAAAACCTATAGAAATATATAAGTCAAGGTGGAACCCTAATATAAACTATGGAATTTACTTGACAATAACATAGCACTATTTGGCTCATCAATTTAACAAATGTATGACACTAATTAATGCAAGATGTTAGCAACAGGGGAAACCGGGTTGGGGGAGAGGTGATTATATGGAAACTCTACTTTCTGCTCAGTTTTTCTTTAAACCTAACACTACCCTAAAACGTAAAGTCTATTAATTTAAGAAGTAAGAAAGGGAAGGGGGAGGCAGGCAGGGAGTGGGGAGGGAAGGAGGAAGCCAGCAGAACACCTCAGGGGACATGCAGATAAACACTGCAACTCAGGAGGCTGACAAAGGAAATAAGTTCAAGAGAATAATCTTTTAATTATTCAAAATAAAAGTGAACATAAAGACCTTTTCTTTCATTATTTTGAGTTCCAAAGGGGAAATATACATTTTAAAGCAGTCTCCTCTCCAGTGGCCGAGACACGATTTTAGAGACACGATTTTAAGCCAAGTGTTTTCAGGAGCAAGCTGTCTTCATTAATCAATATTTCCAGAATTTAAATACACCTTCACTTAATACCTGCTTTTTTCCCTTAGTCTAGCCCATAATCTGCAACACTCGTTTCTCTAACAAGTGTTGTGAAATAGACAGGCCACGCCCTC